CTTTTCTTTCATTTCTACAAATCCAGTTGCCATTTTTCTTGTCTGAACAAGAGATTCTAACAGATTATTCACAGCAATATCCCTATATGATTAGGGACTTTCTTTTCATGCTTAGGGTTGCCCTTCAAAATGAGGAGGACTGGCCTTAAAGTTACAGCTGGAAGTTAATTTGGGAAAAATGTTCTTCTACTTAAAAAAAGAAAAAATCTGCCACAAGTACTATGTTTACTGTTGCTATTATAGGTTCTCCAGTGCATTACACACTCAAATGTATAAAACAACCCCTCCGGGTTTATGCTACTGGTAACAACAAAAACAAAATGAAAGTATATATTTCTTCTAGGTAGTCTTTTTTTTTAACAGAAGTAAATGAATTTTTTTTTTTTGTTTCACAAGAGTGTCATCATGCAGGAATGTTCCAACATCTCTGTTACCAACTTTAGGAATGCAAACGCAAACAGAATTTTCTTTTTCCTTCTCAGCTGACAAAAAAAAAAAAAGTTTTATTAGACAGCTAGTCTACATCTGTCAAGATTGATTCACAACAATATCAATTAACCAATTAGTAGATAATTCAATTGTTCATTCTTATTTTCAACACATACTTTTGGTAGGTTCTACCAATATAAGTTGGTATTTTTCCCAAATATTTACATTAAATGGCCATCCTGCTTGAGAATACGTTGATTTCATTGAAAATGGCATTCAGGATTTAGTGTGTAATGAATACTGGGATTCCCTGGGTGTTACAAATGGTTAACATGCTTGACTGCTAACTGAAAGGTTGGAGGTTTGAGTCTGCCCAGAGGTGCCTTTGAAGAAAGGCCTGGTGATCTACTTCTGAAGAATCAGCCATTGAAAACCCTATGAAGCACAGTTCTGCTCTGACACACATAGGGTCGCATGAGTCAGAATAGACCCAACTGCAACTGGTTTATTATGACTGACACTCTTAAGAAACTATTTTAGTCTATTTCTCTAAAGCTGATATATAGTTACCTGAGCTACTATTAGGAAAAGAGGAAGAAGAACAAACTACTGAAGTACAATGTAAATCCAACCATAATGCTGTGAGAAAGTTCACACTTGTACATACTTTAATAGAAATATTATATAATACTTTGTAAGCATTCACAAATAATAAAAATGAGTCACCAGTGAAGCTACCAGAACAACCTTTCCACCCTTATGTCAGCTGGGAACTTTCTTACACTACCTGTTCCGTGATAGCCTTTACTCCATTAATCCTTTCAATTTTCGTTCTAGTTCCTTGTTTCATTGTTCAACAACTCTAAAATGTCAAGGATCTGTCTCTATCAATGTTTATACAGAACTGATTCTATACAAAAGAACTAACGAAGACAGCCCTTCCTCTAACGCCAATACTTTAATTGAATGTCATAATTATCCTACCTTAGCATTAACTTTGTTCATATTTTTGAGCCATACTGTAACTTTATTTCTTTTATATTTCTTATGTATATCAACAAGCTATATGCAGGTATAAAAAGTTTTTTATTTTGAAGGCAGAAAAATAATGCTGGTGAACTATAAATAGAAAATTATTCAGCACAGCACAATGGTAAAATTTGCAAATATATATTATTTCTCAGTTGTTAACAATTCTAGTCGGTAAAACCAAACTCTTTCTGCTATAGAGTCAATTCCGACTCCTAGTGGCCCTATAGGACAGAGTAGAACTGCCTCATGGGGTTTCCAAGGAGTGCCTGGTGGATTTGAACTGCTGACCTTTTGGTTAGCAGCCGAGCTCTTAACACTAAGGTAGGCAGCTTAAATACTATTAGCTCCATTTTACAAAAGTAGAAACAGGCTCAGAGAAGTTAAATACGTCCTCAAGCTCACACAGTAAAAAGTGATGGAGCTGGTATTCAAACCTAAGGTTATTGTTTGGTTTTGTTTTAATTTTGAAACAAAATTTCAAAAGTTTTACTTCCACAAGCAGTTTAACTAAAAAAGAGTGCCAATCACTGGGCTCCGTTCTGGGGTGGCTAGCTCTGCATACTTGAGAATCTATTACATTCTACCCCTCTGGAATAAGAGTGCCAAATAAAGGGGGATAAAACCTGTCCTTCCCTTGCTTTTCCTTCAAACTGTCAGCTATGACTGGTTCACAGAGTAGTTTTGCAAGCTTGTTTCACTTTGTTTTCAGACAAGGCTTGGGCAGGCAGCCAGTTACTAACTTCTGGTTGCTAGGTGTGGCCTTCTTTCAGATCCTATAAAATCAGAAGCCCAAGACTCCACTTCTAGAGTGAACGGCTCAGAGCACAACCTCTCCAGTTGTTTGGAAGAAGGCAGAAAAAACAGTAAGTCTTGGTTTTCCTTTTAGTTAGTTTTGGTTGTTCTGAACCCTTTTCCCATCACTATGTTAAATGTTACTGCTTCTGTAGACTAGGTGACGAGTTGCATTCAAGCTATTCTGAGAAATCTTTCTGTAAAATGATGTTAGACACTTACATTTTGGAATCCATACGTTGTATTGCTTTGCTATACTGAAGTAAGGAAGACAAATTTTAAAATATGTTAAATTTCCTTAATACTGGCTTATTGTGCTTTTGGTGAGTTACCATGGAAGTGAAGGAAAGAATGTGTTTTCCTCCTAAAAGGAATGAGTTTCCAAAGAGCTGTCCGTGCCTCAAATGGAAATCATGATGGGAGCGGGATGCTTGTGGGGGAGCCAAGAGAACACATGTGGCAGAGGTGGGCTGCAGGGAATTGCTAAAAAATAGCAGGCCTTTCATTATTGATTCTCTTCTTCTGTAAGGGGAACTAAATAGATTCAGACCTCATAGTGGTAATCATGCCCTTAGTAATTACCATTTTGCAATTCGTGTTATATTTGCCTAATGCAGTTTGAATAATAGGGACCACTTATTGCTCATTTTATCTGAAGAGGGTGTGGCCACATTCATTTCCCTGTAGTCTCCACATCATGGGCTTTTAAAGGGCTAGTCTGCAAACACAAGGGAAAAGGAAGTATTTCCTGGGTGGTGTCAGATAAGTCATGCCATAGAAATTCCAGTGGAGCCCTCCACAATTTATTCTATTTAACAGCATCTAGGACTCATTGCTGAATGAGCTAATGGCCATAAAACTCCTTAGAAAAGCACAAAGCAAATTGAAAGTAGAGTTTTTAATGGTGTCAGACATATTTGCAAAAGTGAGGGATTACAAATCATATCCATGTATCTGACTATTGTTCATATAAATGTTCCTTCAAGAATTTTTCTCTTAAACCACTCCGAATGCTAAATGAAATGTCCTGATTTCTCACTTTTTAATGATAGCTAATTAAGACAGATATGCTTTTCCTTGCCATGTTTATGCCTAAAAACATGCAGGAACTTTGGAAAAGCAGTGTTCCCCTCTGTCCCCAGGCTTGTGTTTCGGTAACGGTAAGACAAGGCACACCGCAAATGCTTTAAATGCAGTAAAATACTAGTTTCAAATTCTGGAATGGCCTGTTCCCGGGAAGTAATTTTACCACCCTCGCTCCAGGCTCAGCCACATCTGGCAGATACTAACATCTGACTGATGTGAGAAAATAGTTCATAATAACATTATTGAGGAACCAACTAGAGTTTCATGCTTGTTAAATACTTTTTCAATCAAAAGGCCTGCAAAGGTTGATTTCTGTATATGATGTTAGCTGACTGAGCTGGTTGTTTTTAACCCTCCCTAAACCCATTACTCTCTGACATACATTTAAAATCAGAGCCAAACGAATGGAGTTATTATTTTTCAGCCATTATATATAATCAGTTCTTGGAGTGAACTCTTCCCTCTTTAAAATGGGACAGATTTTTATCAAGAAGATCAGAACAGCTCCAATTTCTATTATGCCTTTCTTCATTATGTTAATTGTCTCCACCTCTGGCCTCTTGAAGTGAAATTTCTGACTGGTGTTTATAATATTACTTCACAGCTATAATGAATCTTGGGTACTACTTATTCCAACATTGTCATTATACAAATGAAGAGCCTCTGGAGAAGTTAAATGTTTTCTTGAGATCATATAGCCAATTAAAGAGAACAAGACTATGACTGAGAACTCCTCAATTCTTGTATGTTGTAGCTGTGGGTGGAAAATGTTTGTTAATTAAGTGTAGATATGTGTAGGGGGTTGGAAATAATGAAGTCATGACTTCCTAAAATATTAGCACTGATACACCATTTAGTCATTCAATAGCACTTATTAATATACTAAATACCAGGCATTTTGCCAAAGACTGGAGGTAGATAATGAATGATATATTAATACTGACTGCATGGAACCCTGCTAGGGGATATAAATAAGTAAATTAAAAAAAGAAAACAAACGATAATGCATGATGATGGAGGCTAGTCTAGGAGTGAGCACAAATCGTTGCCATCAAGTCGATTCCGACTCCTAGTGCCCCTACAGGACAGAGTAGAACTGCCCCACAGAGTTTCCAAGGAGCACCTGGTGGATTCAAACTGCTTACCCTTTGGTTAGCAGCCAAGCTCTTAACCACTATGCCACCAGGGCTCCATAGGAGTACAGGAAGGATGTTTTGGGAGGACACAGAAGATTACCCAACTCAGTGTTGAGGTACCAATGAAGGCTTTCTGGATGATGTTATTAGATTTTTGCTGAATCTTAACTTAGAAGTAGCAATTAATTAGGCAAAGGGATGTGGGTGTAAGGGCAGAAAGAGTATTCTAGGCAAGGCGAACACCCGTTATGCAAATACACAGAAGCAAAACATTCAGGAGGTTACCTCTGAAGATGATCCTTCATAAGCTATGCCATTGTAGAGTCTAATTGCCTAGTCTCATATGGGTGGATGTGGGAGGGACTTGTGAAGTACATATACCAGGGAAACACTGCACAGCCAAAGTATTTTAAAATAAACTCCTTAGGACTGGGCCGAAATTGCCACATTCTCCAACGGCTGGCTGTTAACGATTTGATTCTCAAGTGTGAACTGTTGAAAATAACATGAATCTTGTCACCATCTTTTTGGTTACTAGTTTAAAAGAATATACGCAGACTTTGGAATCAGAAGGCATAAAATTACGCCTTGAATCTTGCCACTCCCTATCTGGAAGTTTGTCTGAAATGATACTTTGTTTTCCTAACTAGAAAACAGGGATGATACGTTGCGCTTTGGAAGTGTTAGTACTTACTTGCTGTTGCTCTCATTGTTGAGTTCTGATGGTGCTAGCTTGCAACCAGGCAAACATGATAGACCACGCAGTTCAGCTTCATCTGTCGAAAATTTTAGAAGTAGCCTTTCGTGAGACCAACACAGATGCAAGCTGAGACTAAACAAAAAGAAGAAAAAGGGAGCTTATTCTTTTGACATAATTTCAGACCTTCAGAAAAGTTGCAAGCATATTACACAGAATTACCATGTACATGTTACCTCTATTCCCCCAATGTTTATGTTTTACATTTACTGTATCATTCATCCTCTCTTTTTCTCTCTCTCTGTATTTATTTATTTTCTTTAACATTTGATGGAAAGTTGCAGATATGATGTCTCTTTGCCTCTAAATACCTCCATCTGTGTATCCAAAAAACTGAGGAAATCCTCGTACACAACCACCAAAAAAAAAAAAAAAACCCATTGCCATTGAGTTGATTCCAACTCATAGTGACCATTGAGGACAGAGTAGAATTGCCCCATCAAATTTCCAAGGCTGTAAATCTTTCCGGAAGCAGACTGCCACAGCTTTCTCCTGCTGAGCGGCTGGTAGGTTGGAACCTCTGACCTTCCAGTTAGCAGCTGAGCGCTTAAACCATTGTACCAGCGGGGCTCCTCTACACAACCACAGTACGATTATAAAAATCAGGAAGTTAGGGTAGATACAGTAAGTCTTAGTGTTTTCAAATTGTCTAGTTCGTGCAATTGCTAATTTACTATTTCTGTAATATGTTTATCTTAGGGCTTAGTTAGGGGTGATTCCTCTCTATCTGACCTCTTGGGTATACTCTTTATGAGTAATTACCTTCTTTAAATCCTTGCTGCATAAAATGAAGAGGACTCTCTTAGGGCATATATATATATAAAATATGCTAATCTCTAGAAAGCTACACATTGATTCACCAGTAACCTGAGATTGATAGGCAGTGCATATTCAAAAAAAAAAAAAAAATCACTTATTTGAAAAAATGTGGAATATTGATAATTTCTGTATAGGTCAACCTATATATAAAAGGTCAGTTTCATCCTCAAATTAGATAATGTTAAGCACTGACATAAACTTGGTTTTGCAGTTTACTGGTAACTAAATAATACTGAGTCAAAATAAGAGAATCAAATGGACTCTTAAATACCTAGTGCAAGCTTTAAATATTGCAATTCAAAAAAAGAAAACTTTTGTGAACTCAGAGGGCTATTTGTCTTTTACTGACCATACAATTCTATTTTCTAGACCAGATCATTCTCTGAATAGTAGTATTATCTGACGTTTGTATAATGGGTGGCAGTCTACAAAAGACTTCTGCATGCATTATTTGATTTATAGTAAAGCAAGCGCTACCTTCAAGTTGGTGAATGGGTTTTATCAAATGCCAAAGATTGGTTTTCATACAGAGTGTAGATGTTGATAGTTTAGCAATAAAATTTGGCCAAAATATTGTTCCTGTGTATTTGTAAAGTGTGTCACAACTACTGAGAGTTGTACATGTTAACACTCGCGCTTGGCTTTGGGCCCTTAACTAGCAGTCTGTGATAAGATCTGTTTCTATTAGAGCAGTTTCTGACATCCTGCCATGATCTTTGTGTCTTTAAACTTTGCTAAGAGCTACTGGCCATTCTTTGGCTTGGGATTCCATTTTCTTCTAATTGCTTTCCTGAGAAAGTTGCCATTCTAGCACTTTGACTTTCCATACCATGCTCATAGGCCATCCAAATTAGCTCAGACTAAAATCTAAGAACTCAGAAGATACGTCGCAAGGTATGTCTCCTCTATGGACTACTCTGATGTATCAAAGAAATTTCTCACTCCCCTTATTTTTGTTATTTTGTGATATATAACTAATATAGCAATATCGTTATTTTCCTACACTTTCTCAAGTTTTTTTTCAAGAAATTGATCTATTATGCAAGTCAATTTTTTAGAAGTGGAAAAAGCTAATGGAGTAAAGTTTTTGTAAAGTTTTCATTCGTAATATTTTGTAAAACTTTAATTATTAATCGTATACCTGATAATATCCTCAGTCTGTGCTTTGGTTTCTTTTGTAGTTGGTCTTTTTTAATTGAGAAGAGTGTAGTTACTGGAAAACTTATGTCTATAACTGATGGAAAAGTACTTTGCTAAGTGGCAAATCATATCCCTCAATTTGAGGATGCAGCTTTACTCAGGGCATGGATGAGATGATAGAAATGAAAATTCAGCATCCTTCAGACTTTGCCAGGACTGCTGTGAGGTTTTGCTGTGCCAGTTAAGCTGTTGGTTAAGCGGTTGGAACGTGAAACTTGACGTGGCAGCAGCCATTGTACCTGGTTATGGCTGGAACGGGAAATAGAACCTCATGCAAAATTGTACGTCATGGCTTTGACTTCAGGAAATAGCTTTAAATTTATTTTAGATATTATTTCCCTCATGTATTTAATCTCATTACTTGGAGCTGCAGTCATGTTTTAGCAGGTTCGGATTCAAGTACTTTGCCTGAGCATGCTGTTAAGGAGTCAGGTTATGAGTTTTACTCATCATGAGTCATTTAGCTTCACATCAGAAATTTAAAGTAGCCACAGGTTGTCCTTCCAACCTCTCTCGCTTGTATCTATGATAATAGCCTCTAGCGGGGTATGCCCAGAAGGTATGGAGAGTTAGATCAGTGTAGATCTTGAGAATGGGCTCTTGAAAACACTTTCCCAGATAAAAATGTTCACTAATGACTTTTTCAGTGGACAAAACAGAGAATACCTTCATTTTAAACATACTCAAAGTTTAAAAACATTCATGGTTCATTACATAAATGTATTGCCAAACCAAGATAAGGATGCAAGCGATTTCCTTTAAGACAGAGTTTGCTAAAAGAGGACATGCATGTTGCAACAACTTCACTCTAATGCTTCCTGTTAGAGCAAAGAATCTGGTATAGAGTAATTTTGTTCTGGGTTTGTGTGTGTGTGTGTGTGTGTTTTGGGTGAGAAAACATATACAATTAGTATTTAGACACTTCAAATAGTAAGATATGTGAGTATAGCAATTATTTCAAGTACTAATTTTATACCAAGGAATAGAAAATGAAACAGAATTAATAGAGATTCAATAAGAACTATACTGAGTTATCGTTTTATGGATAGTATTTTGAGTTTGAATCCACTTCTGTTTTTTTTATGGATTTGACCTTACAAATGCAAACATTATGCTTTCTCTATAGCCACTGTTCTTGTTCAGGCCCTAATTAATCTTACATTAATCTTAGATTCTCTAATGGCCTACTTAATGGTCTCCAGGCTTCTATCTTGCCTACCTCTCAGCCATACTCTGTGCTATAAGCAGAAATAATCTTTCTGAAATAGAAATGAAATCTTGCTTAAAATGCATTAATATTTTCCCAAAGATTTGGGAGATACATGTACACCTCTTTGTTAGGGCTCCTGACAAAGTTATTTGTTCTGCAAACTTCTTGCAGTTTTTAGAACCTGACAAGCTTTGCTGTTTTGTTCATTCCAATTTTCTGCCGGGTTAACCATGCCTCATGTCAAGAGAGGCTTCGATCAGCTCCAGCCTCCTCTAGGTAGTTTCCTCAGCCCTTGTGTGTGGTCCCACGGAGAGCAAGGGATGAAGCTTTAATTGTTTCTGTACCTCAGTGCTGGGCATATAATGAAAACCTGTTGCCCTCAAGTGGATTCTGACTCATAGTGACCCTATAGGACAGAGTAAAACGGCCCCATAGGGTTTCCAAGGAGCGCCTGGTGGATTCGAACTGCTGACCTTTTGAAGTGAGCTCTTAACCACTGAGCGGCAGGGGCTCCAGGCATACAACGTGTGCACTAAAAATTCGGAATGGAGTGGATCACCAGCTCCTCCCTCCAGTTTATATGCTTACACGTAGCAACCAGCTGACCCCTAGGGGTTAAGACTGACCCCTAGGGGTTAAGACTGAATGGAGGCTATGGGTTTTGGTTAGAGGGTAGGATCTTCCTTTAACAAAACAAAACAAAAACATAAGAACCACCACCAACAAAAACAAACAAAAAAACAAACCTTGCTTCTAGCATTTCATGATATCCCTAAAAGTCATCTTGGAAAGTAAAGACAAGGCTGCTCTAAATGCTGGGTGGTGTGTCTGTAAAAGGAGCCTTGGTGGTGCAGTGCTTAAGTGCTCGGCGGCTAATTGAAAGGCCAGCTGCCCCCAGCCGCTCCACTGGAGAAAGATGTGGCAGTCTGCTTCCTTAAAGATTTACAGCCTTGGAAACCCTATGGGGCAGTCCTACTCTGTCCTATAAGGTCTCTGTGAGTCGCAGTTGACTTGATGGCAACAGGTATCTGTAAAAAGCACATGTGTGTAATGGGTTTGTGTTTTGTTAAATCATTTACCTTTTTTTTTTCCCAGATACTTCTTCAACCATGGCAATGGTATCAGAGTTCCTCAAGCAGGCCTGGTTTATTGACAATGAAGAGCAGGAATACGTTGTAAGTAAAGGGACAATAAAATAACTTAGTTACAATATTAAAGTAGAAACTAATATTGTGTGAACGGACGTTAATGTATGTCTCTCTCATCCACAGAAAACTGTGAAAGGATCCAAAGGCGGCCCTGGGTCAGCAGTGAGCCCCTACCCCGGCTTCAATCCATCCTCAGATGTTGCTGCCTTGCACAAAGCAATAACAGTTAGAGGTGATGAAGACAGGCCCTCCAGGACATCACAATGGATATTGAAATGAGTGTTGAAAAACATACATTTGCAGTGGGAAAAATCTTTCCTTTTGAAGTTAAATGATTTCTTTCTCAAATGAAGATGTATTTGGGGATGTATTTAGGGATATTCTTACCAGTGCATTTTTAGCAGAAGCTCAATGTTGAATTCAACATCTCTGCTCACATTTAGTGTTTGAAGTAGGACCAAAATCTGCAACCCAAGGCCAGGAACAATTGCCTCTTCCTTTCTCAGTCAAATGAATGAAATGGCATTATAATTAGTTCTCTGACATTTTGTGTAGCAAGTGATTTTCTAGGCTGATATAATTTATATTTCTTTGTGTGTTAAACACTTAAGTTGGAGCATCTTTCAGTATCAATATCGATTTTTCCTAGAAATTGTCATTCTCATAACATAATTTCAAGAATAAGGGCAAAGTAATTTGTTGAGACAAATTTATATTTAATTAGTTATTTTTTTTAATGATAGCCTGGAAAACGTTATAAAGCCACAAAAACTAGTTTGAAAAAATAGTTAAAGGAATAACCAATTAATCCTGGTCATGATAGACATGAATAGTTCATATTTAATAAACTACATTTGTGTATAGTTTACATTCAGAAACTGCATTTTCAATTTTTCTTTGAGCAAGTGCATGATGCGCTTGTAGGTAAATATTCAGAGGGGAAAAAATACGATTGGAAAGACCATTCAGGCAGAAGAATAACTTGATAATGAATCACTGTAAACCAATCACTGATGATGAAGCAATTTGCTTTTCAAAGCCGGTTGTTAGTTGCCTTTGAGAGCAGCTGATCCACAGCTACCTGATGTATAACAGACAAAATGTTGCCTAGTCCTGAGCCATCTTCGTTATCTTTGGTATGTTTGAGTCCGTTGTTGCAGGTACTCTATTTTGAATGCGTTCCAACCGAGGAGGCTCATCTTCCAAAAATATATAGGATAGTATTCTGTTATGATCTCTTACATTTTCATTGGCTAACCTTTGCAAGTGGATCAGCAGATCTTTCTTCCCAGTCAATCTTAGTCTGAAAGCCCTGTTGAAATCTGTCACCATGGCTGACACCGGCTGGTTTTGAAATGCCCTGAACATAGCTCCCAGCATCATAGCAACACATACAAGCCACCATAATACACCAAATTCTCTGATGGCCTTTTGCTTTTTATTTCCAGGTGTGGATGAAGCAACCATCATTGACATTTTAACTAAGAGAAACAATGCACAACGCCAGCAAATCAAAGCAGCATACCTCCAGGAAAAAGGAAAGGTAAGCTATGGTGGTGAAGATAGCTAGTTCATTTTAGTAATATTCATGCTTAAACATAGATCCTGAAGTACAGTTACTTAGTCTTTGAATCTCTGCCCACTATTTTCCTATTGTACCTAAGACTGGGATTTCAGTAATAATCCCCTATGCTGCAACTGAATCAATCCTAGTGAGTTTACTGACTATTAATAAATTATTTGTCTTGGTGTAAAGTTCTTTGACAGTTTGGTGTTCTGTATAAGAGACAAGTTTTTAATTTGGACACAACAAACATCAAGGTTAGTTGGCAATAAGGAATAAATTCTGATTCGAATATGTCTTCTGCTAACAAACTGAACTATTTAATTCGTAATGTGAAATGTAGACCATAATTCTACTTTAAATATAAGTTTTACATCTTTCCCAATATATATGGGTTATTGTTTTTTAAGGAGTACAGTTAGAAAACGATATAATGTTAATGTCTAATTATATTGCTTACTTGAGCTGTGCAAACCTCAAATATTAGAAAAATTATTAATACTTAATTTTAAAAGTATTCTTACTACTGTTTTCATCTGTATGTGTACATGCCCCCCTACATTTTCAGCTTTGTGATTGCTTCCCTGACTAAAGACTTAAGAATTCGTTCCTAAAAGAAGTTATCGATGCATTCAGTGAATTCCATTCTAATCATTCTAGCTCTAAGAGATTAACATAGAATTCTTAATTATCTGATACAATTTTGTATATGAAGTAAACGGGCTCTAACAGATGGTTGGGTTTAGGGATCAGCAGGAAAATTACCTTAAGGTCAGGGAACAACATGTTGCCATATAACCTAGCCATTTCTTATTAGAAGCCCTGACTTAATTTACTCTTTATAGCCCCTGGATGAAGCTCTGAAGAAGGCCCTCAAAGGCCATGTCGAGGAAGTTGCTTTGGCTCTGTTAAAAACTCCAGCCCAGTTTGATGCTGATGAACTCCGTGGTGCCATGAAGGTAAACCGCCTGATTTAAGCAAAACCTCTTTCCTCAAGACAATGTGTAGTTCAAGTCTGTTTACGCCTGCTGCTGTATTCTCAACATCGTGTTGAGTGTCTGTCAATCAGTGGGAATCGATGAATGAATGAATGAACAAATAAATAAATGTTGGCACAAAGGACTGTGCTGCTGTCCACCCTCCTGGTGATGTCACTGTATGAGTCATATATCTGCATTTTTTATACCTTTACCTAAAATGGTAGCTATAAACTAATTTTGTTTTAGAGCAATAGAATAAAGTTTATTTTAATTATTAAATATGATGGGTAAAATTTACTCAATGTCAGACTCAGATAAATTTTGAGACACATAA